GCAAGAGCTAATAAAGTGCGAACGGTTACCATTTTAGCAACATGCACAAAAGTGTCATGGTAATCAATCCTCTCTGTTTGAGTGTAACCCTTTGCAACGAGAGGAGCTTTGTAGTGCTCAATGGTGCCATCAGAATTATATTTGATTCGATGAACCCATTTACATCCAATGGGGTATTTGTCAGGAGGAAGAGGAATTCCCAAGTGTCATTCTATTCAAGGGCCCGTATCTCAGAAGACATCGCCTCCTGCCACTTGGGAGATTGACACGCAGCATCATAAGTTTCAAGTTCCTGCTTTAAGGATATGGCTAAAAAAACACGGTGAGTAGGTGAAAAATGCAAGTGCGATAAATAGTTGGATAATGGATAATGAGTACCTGATTCAGTTACCTGAGAGTCCGAAGAGGATTAATTGGAGACCATAATAGCGCAGTGGTAGTCTCGAAGATATCCGGGTGGACGGCATGGCCGAGATGGCCGAGGCACGGCTTCGGGTTCAATGGGTGATGGTACGGCCATGGGTGCAGGAGGCTGAGGAGGTGAGGTCGGTTTTGTAAGGTGACGGGGTTCAAATGTGATGTGGTTGGTGGCGCCAGTGTCAATAACCCATGTATCAGAATTAAATGAATTCGAAGATAAGCCAAGAACATTACCTAAGAGGTTAGCTTTTGGGATGTTTACCTCTTGCAGCAAGCGCATCAGTTGCTTATATTGATAATTTGTGAACGGAGGAGGTCCCGCATCGGAATTATGCTTGGACTTGTTGTCCGCGGGCCAGGAGGAGGTAGATGGCTGTCCACGGCGATGCTTGTGGTTGGGAGGGAAGCCATGAAGTCGAAAACACACATCCCGTGTATGTCTCGGGATGCCACAGTGGGCGCATCTTTCCCGGCCGCGAGACGTGTTCGTTCGTTTAGCTAGGTTGGCGGACGAAGCGAGAGCGCCAAGAGAGCCGGGCTGTCCGTGGGATGAGGAATCTGCGTATGGCCACGGAATATGGTTGCCGTGAGTGCTAAGCAAAGTGGTCTATGGTTGCCATGAGTGCTAAGCAAAGTGCTGGTCTGGTCGGACGGTGGGCGATCCAATTGGATGTGGCGGTGCGACTCATCTTGAAGAACTAGTGCATATGCACATGCAACACTGGGTAACTGATCCATTAGTAAAATCCGACTAATAACATTAGTGTATCTCAGATTGAGACCCATGAGAAATTGATACAATTGCCGATACTCTTGTTGTTTGGTGACGATTGAATGAGCTCAACAAGACCATTGTGGTAACGGATCCAAATTATTCAATTCATCTTAGCAACTTCGCAAGTTGTTGTAGTACTTGGTCACGACATTATCATGTTAAGTAAGGGTGCATATTTTTGCTCAAGATGAAAAACCCTAGGACCATTTGATGGCGAAAAACGTTCGTGGAGATCGGTCCAAACATCCGCAACTGACTATGTGTAGAGAAACGTTGGCACCAAATTTGGATGGATGGAATTAAGAATCCAAAATAGAATCATATTGTTAACACGAATCCATGATGCATAGGTAGGATCGGCTACGACTGGTTTTTTAATTTCTCCAGTAACAAACACCATCTTGTTCTTGGCGGAAAGGGCAATCTCCATGGCACAAGACCAATTGTTGTAATTATTACCCATAAGGACCATGCCGACGAGATTTGTTCTAAGAATCGTCTACCATGGCGACTTGCGGCGACCGATGAGGAGGAACGTCAGGACCAAGGGAGCAACGATGGCGACTTAGTGAGGACGCAGCAAATTGCAAGTAGGTTTGCGGCAAGCGAGGTGGATGCGCGACGATGGACAAGCTGACAGCGGGCGCGGTAACTAGTGAGGAGCGGCGGCGGCGGTGCGTAGAAGGACGGGAGCTAGAGATCAACACTGGTAAACAAGGTCTTGAGAATTTCGACGAGAAAGCAAAACCAGACCGCTGGATGAAAGCAGCGACGACACCAAGAAATCAAACCACGCCGGCGAATCAATCTGACCGAATCAGAGGAGGGCTAGATATTGCTTAAGGGACGTGAGAGACAAGCTTCGAGGATCACCGCTTTCATTCCATGTAGAGGTTGGGCAAACATTACTTCCATTAATGAAACAATTTACAATATATATACATAGGGTTTAGGGCTAAAACAATACAATGACAGTTATGCCCTTTAGTATAAACCTAATCTACCAATAAACTCTAACTTAAATCACGGTGAATTGTAATGATGTGATATTAAACGAGCAACAAAACCGTAATCAAAAGAAAACTTAAATCTCTGAACCTTTACAATATGATTTTTCTAAATCTGTCGTACCTTTTCTACGGTCCTCGATTGAATTATGTCCAAATAAAAAGTCTTGATTTTATTTTTGGTCAGAAAATAAAAAGTCTCCATTAAAAAGACAATTTCTTGGATCATTGTGAAGCGATAAGACGGCATGCGAAGTCTAAGCTCTAATAGCAGATGCTGGTTTATGCACATAACCCATCCAAATAATTATCTTTAAATTCTAGGTAACATAAACAAAAAAAAGTTCAAGTAAAGTGCAGTTGATGATAATGAACATGCTTGCATACCTTGTCCCTCGCGGCCTTGGCAGCCCTCGCCCACAGCCGGTGATGGGCTGGGCAAGGGCCAGGACCCTTGCTAGCGGCAGGGCCAACGAGGGTCGCCGGTGACCATCACAGACCACAATAAAAAAAAAAAAAATTTCGTAAAAATTGCTAAAAAATTATAAAATTTGTTCATTTCAACGTCGGTCGTGTCATGTAGGACGGCTAACGTCCATATCAAAGATTTCCAGCCAAAATTGATTTGATGAACTGAATTGGTACAAATGTTAAGATTAAATTGATGCAATCGAAAAGTTTAAGAATTTTTTGATACTTTCCCTTGCATTTTTCAAATGCATGTTTTTATGAGCATCGAAGAACCTTGCGGGTCAAATGTAGCCACGCCTTGCACACGAGGTTGATTTTTCACCTTCGAGACGTGTTGAGACTTGGGATAGATGGAGAGGGCCAAAGGCAAAGGAAGGTGTTCTTCGTGCGTGTCCTTGAAATAGGTTCCGACCATCTAGAAACGCGTTCTCTTGGACTTCAAGCGTCCTGATGGAGTCAAATGTGATCCATTACATGTCATTAGTTAAAGCTTTGTGAAAATACATATGTATGACTTTGGTTGGAATGTGACTTTTGTTTACCTAGCTATCCATTTTGTTACAATGGAAGTCGGACCTCCACACGAAAATGGCATTGCTATAACCAAACGATAGAGAAAAGAATTTCGGTCGAGATTTCAAAAGAATGAGTAGGTTAATGAAAGTCGCGATTTCATGAGGTGTCTTGGTCCTGATGTGAACAGTTTGTCTTTGATCAGACTAGGGAGGTGTACTTTATCTGATGCGTGAAACTGACTCGAGATATCACCTAACCGCTATGCCCAAAAGATAAAAGGAAAATCATTCGATAGTGAAAAATCATTAAAGGATTTACACCATCACTTATCATATCTCAATCAATGCTGAGATGTCGGATGAGATTATTATGATTTCTTGACGAATTATTAGGATATACGTCGGATGAAATCAATGAATCACCACATAACATGTGGATGGACTGATTTCATCATGCAAATTAGTATTCATGCCCTGCATTTACGTTTCCGAGGGTAACCGATTCGATCAAAAATTGAGGACAAAAAACCAGTCTATTCATTAGAATCCTTCATTTCCTCAATCAAGGTAAATCCATTGGCTATTGCTTTTATGGAAATTCTAACTAATTCACCTTAAATTCTTTTCTTCGCCCAAACCAATTGCCATAATCCCAAACATAGTTCGACGCTGATCGTGCAAATTCTTAAAAAAATTTGTAGTCTAATTCCTACACTACACTACCGAGCAATGGCTTATAACCTAATGCGATCCTCAAATTAGAACTTAGTATAAACCGAACCAAATCTATTTTGCTCCACGAACTCAATGAAGCTCGAGTGGCCATGCACACGAGCTCTAAATTTCATTTGCTCCACAAGCTCAATGAAACTCGGGCGACCATAGTTGAGCTGGACGAAGCTTAAATGGCCATGGCTGCTAGGTCGAAGAAGTTCCAGTTGCTGGCACGAGCTATGAAATCTCCTTTGCTCTGCGTAAACACAAGTCGAAGCCCAGACCCGACTCTGACTTTGATTCCCATGACTGCAACTCTTCCCGCGCCTCTCAACTACACTCTCGCCAATGCCGACACCAATAAGGAGGGAGTGAGGAAGAAGAAGGATAATTCAAACAAGGTTGTGATTTGGGAAAGTAATGACATCGTCTTAGGCATTGGTTCATACTTGAGTTAAAGATAACAGTCACGTAGGAGAGATAAAATAATGAAAACAGCCACATCAACAATGTTTAGTTAGGCAAATTGAGCAGGGTTAACGGAGTAACTTTATTGTACCAATTGGCAAGTTTTAAAACTTGAATGCACTTTTTGAAAGTTTTATGACTTAACTGTATTTTTCCGATTTAGGACTTCTGGTGTAACTATTCCTTTCTTTAAACAATTTTTTTCATACTTACCAACATTTATTAAAACTCACTAGCACAAAAAAAGAATTCTTATATTTGAATAGAGAACAATATAGTTCTGCAATTTCTTTTGAATCACAATATGTGATTGGATCTATACGGCACCCGCACATCAGATCTAAAAACCGTAATTTAGATGCAAAAGCACGCACAAATATCATTGTCCTACCCCAATTAAATAGAACAGTGTGCCCCATGCATTGGCTATGTAATTCAGTACGGATAACAAAAAATATATCAATTTATGTCTTTCGTGATTAAAGAAGTTCAATTGAGCATTTGAAAAATGTGTTGAGAATCTCATTAGTCATCAACAGATGCACTTTCTCAGAAGCTCCATCCGAAATCATTCCTTACATCTTCCGCCACTCAAGCGTGGTCAAGCTCAACCTATATATACAGCTCCCACTTTCATGGTCTTTTCAAATCGTCACTCTTGCTTCAGAAACCAATTCATCCCTTCAATCTTCCATATTCAGTGATCTCAAAGCTACAAATTCTAGCCGAAAACGAAAATGCTTCAAGAAATTTTCAGTCCCTTTGAGACCTATCAATGCGATGCTTTGAAATCCATCTGTGAGCGTCTTCTTGAAGATGATGATGATGGTGTCAACGCAACATTTTATGCACCAACTCCTGCAAACACGTACTCAAGGAGTTCAAGCTTCAGCAATCTCTTGCTGATGGACAGTTGGAGCGAGCTGCCCCTAAAAGTCAATGACTCGGAGGACATGTTGGTATACGGCGCTATGTGCGATGCGCTCAATTCTGGGTGGACGATGCCTTCGTCTTCGAATCAAGAACTTGATTTTGAAGTGACGACCATTGATAATATTGGTCTAGCCTCGAATCAAGGACTTGATTTCGAAGTGACGTCCATCAATTATAACAGCAATGGTTTGGCGACGGAGAAGAAACTGGAGACGGTGGAGCAGGAGGTACAAGTGTCGGTCGAGAAGACACATTTTAAAGGAGTGAGAAGGCGGCCATGGGGAAAATACGCGGCGGAGATAAGGGACCCCAAGAAGAACGGGGCAAGGATTTGGCTCGGGACTTACGAGACACCTGAGGATGCGGCATTGGCCTATGACCGAGCAGCTTTTAAGATGAGGGGGTCCAAGGCCAAGGTTAACTTTCCTCACCTCATCGGCGCGACTGAGTACGAGCCTGTCAGGGTCAGCCGCAAGCGTTGTTCTGCCGAGCCTAGCTCGCCATCCACATCCAGCGATGACGGCTTGGTGACGAGCACGAAGAGGAGAAAGAGAGATGTCAATGTGGGTGCTGAGGTGGATTTTGGAACTCAAAACCCCTTTCCCATATCGGATATTGGTTTTTGGAGTGGGGATGAACAATTTGTACTTTGATCATGCAAACTGCAAAGACATTGTTTTGATTAATGAGAAGTCAATCAGGCATTTTTTGTTGCAGAAACTATCAATTTAGTGTTTTGATTTCATTTCCTTCGGAGTTTGTCAGCAAAAACCAAAAAAAGGTACTCTTTCCCCAACTCCGCACTAATTTCCTCCACATGAAAAGAGGAGAAAAACACATTCACATCGTGGAGAAAGCGACTAACAAAAGTTTAAAAAGTTTGTATAATTACTTATCTGTTTACACAAAATTACGTACTCAACTTACATATGGCATTAGAGTAAAGATATCAAACTTGGTTCACCATATCATTCATTTTGTCATTCTTTTATGACTTCTTTAAATTTTTTGTTCAATTCTTACAAATACTTTCATCCACAAGCATTAATAAGTTTGCTTAATTGAGAGTTTAAGCAGCAAGGTTAAGCAACACATTCATGAATTAAATTAATTGTTTTTTTTACCTTGTTTTCTTTATGGCTCGATGATTTGTTTGCTTAAGTAAAGCAAAGGTTCGAGCAACGAGTCGCTCGCCCGGGGCGTCGCTGCGCCCCCCCGCTGATTACAAAAAAAATAACATGAATTGCTCAAATCAAATTTCTCAATAAGCATTGATTTTAGAGAGATTGTTAGGTTTTCATAGGACCATGTGTACGTAGCCACTTAAATCATGATGGCATGCGGTGATTGGTATGAGTAGGCAAAACTTTTTCCCGAGAAGTACCTCTTTTTTTATAATTGCCTTAAGACAATTTTATGGGCAATAATGAATATGCTGTTAAAGAATTTAAGAAGTATCTGCATTCTACCTTTTACATGAAAGATTTGGGACCTTTGAAATATTTTCTCAACATTGAGATTGCACGATCAGGTAAATGAATCTACCTCAGTCAATGCAAATTTGTCTTGGAGATTATATTAAAAATAGGGTTGTTAGGATGCAAACCAGTTGTCAATCCGATTGAGCATAATGTTAAGATAATGACTATTGAATATGATGCGGGATTATCACCTTTAGACAAGGATCCATCACTCAAAGATCCATCGAACTATCGAAGAGTCATTGGAAAACTCATCTATCTCATAATGACTAGACCTAACAAATGTATGCACGGCAAATTCTTAGTCAATTCATGCATGATCCAAAACAATCACATATGAATGCAGCGTTGAAAGTCATGAAATACTTGAAAGGATGTCGAGGACTGGGAATACTACTATCTTAGGATTGTAATATGGAGATGACGACTTATTATGATACAGACTATGCCACTTGTCCTATGAGTAGGAGATCTATTACTAGATTTTGTGTTAAGCTAGGAGAATCGTTTCTTTCATGGAAAACGAAGAAACAATTGTTTGCTTAATTGTCATTAGAGGAATTTGAATATCAAGCCATGGCTAAGATTGTTTGTGAAACAGTTTGAATGTGAGGTCTACTTTGCGATCTTTGGCATAAGGGTAAGAGGACCAACTACCTTGTTTTGTGACAATGATGCCGCTCCTAAACTTGCAGCAAATCTGATAGTCCATAAAAGAATGAAACATATAGAAGTTGATTGCCATAAGACTAGAGATAAAATTCCTGAAGGAGCACTCAAGACAAGAGAAATAAGAACTATAGAATAGCTTGCAGATGTCTTTACCAAGCTTCTATGTCAAAGGCAACACACATGTCTATTGAGCAAGCTTGGCCTCTTCGACATATATAAGTCACTAGCTTGACGGGGAGTGTTGGAGATACAACCGCCTCGCTTGGATTAATTGATTATTTCCATTTTCATCTCCTGATTGTTTTCACAATGAGGAGTGAAATTCTTACCATGCAGAGTGTCTATTAATAGTCAAAATCAACCAATTTTTCAAATTAGATTATTGTATAAATAGGAAAATTACTTTCTTTATTCATTATGTATATTTTTCCTTTTATTGTGAATGCAATTGAATTATAAATAGAGCCTACGTACAAGGTTTCCATAAGTAATATATAGATATAATTTCCCTATCTTCTACCTTTCCATCCTTTTCTGTTTTGTGTCACCTCAATTAAATTATGGCCAAACAGAAGGGAAAATGACACAAATGATCCTGGAACTTTGGCTCAATGTGCAATGTTGTCTTTAAACTTTTAATTTGTTCAATGTGATCCCTAAAATTTAGCCCAATGTGCAATGTCATCCATAAGCTTTTAATTTGTTCAATGTGGTCCTTGGATTTTTGGTACATGTTCAATTTAGTCCCTCAACTATATGAAAATGCTTAATGTTGTCCTTGAACTTGAATTAATTGAATGACAATATTGAACAATTTCTTATAATCCAAGGACAACATTGAACATGTACAAAAAATCTAGGGACCGCATTGAATAAATTAAAAGTTTGGGGATGACATTGCACATTGGGCTAATGTCCATGGATCACATTGAAAAAATTAAAAGTTCAGGGACAACATTACATATTAGGCAAAAGTTCAAGGACCATTTGTATCATTATCCCCCAAACATAAAGTCTTGATTAAATAAAGACAATTTCTTGGGTCATTTGTGAAGCGATAAGACGCATTCGAAGTCCAAGCCCCTATAGCAAATGATGGTTTATGCAAGTAACACGTCCAAATGATTATCTTATATTATAGGTTCCATAAAAAAAAGGAAAAAAAATTTAGTGCAATGGATGATAAGAACCAAACTGCACTCTTTCTACATGAACTTTTACAGCCTTGCAACTCTATTTTCGTCCATAAACTTGACTCAATAAGACTTCACACATATCTAAGTTTGAAATGAATTCGAAAAAAAACTGCATTTTGGGAAAATTAAATTGTTAAATCAACGAAAGTGGGGGTACGTTAGCGCATGGAATTGAAACATCGTGCACCATTTAATATATATCGTTACTTACATAGGTAGACAAGATTATTAGCTAAAGATACCAAAAATGTCTCTTAGGTATTGGTTTTCAAATTTAGAAATTATATGTAAAATCGAACCCAAAAAGAAAAGACTGGAATTGTATGGAGTGGGAGTAGTTTATAGGCAGACAAAGTAAACAAGACGGTCAAATTACCAATCGATAAATTGTTCCAAATTTTACATATTTAATGACTTGATTGACATCTACATTTTCGCTTTTGCTCAATCTTCTTACGAGATAAAATATAATTTCCTGGTGTTAGCCTAAAAGAAAGTAACACCTCGCATAGTTTCATTTCATTGAAAGGTAATTAGTGACACATGCAATCCGAAAACTACATTTTTTTCAAATACATGTGTTTCTTTATGAAATAATGTCGCAGGTCAAATGTAGCCCCGCATCGCACACGACATTGACTTTGTACCTTCAAGACGTGTGTGAGACTTAGGATAGATGAAGAGGACCAAAGCCAAAGGACGGTGTCTTAGTCACTTTGTGTGTGTCCTTGAACGAGGGACGATCGTCTAGAAACACATACAATTGGACTTCAAGTGTCTTGATGGAATTGAATAGGATCCATTACATGCCATCAGTTTAAAGCTTTGCGAGAATAGATACGTATGACTTTGGTTGCTATGGAACCACGGAAGCCATACCACCACACAAAATTATCGTTGCTATAACCAAACGACAAAGAAATGAATTTCCGTCAAGATTTCAAAAGAATGAGAAGGTTAATGGAAACCGTGATTTCACGAGGTGTCTTGGTCCTGATGTAGATGGCCTATCTTTGATCGGACTAGAAAGGTGGACTTTATCTGGTGCGTGAAAACCGAGGTCTCCATCAACGGTTGAGTTTTATGAAGATATCAAAAGAAACACCTTGGGAGATAGGGCATTCTAGAGAGATTTTTAGGTAAGTTCGTGATGCAATGCAGACCAAGTTGGCGCGTGGTGATTCACTCGAGTGGTTAGCGATCTCGTGTTTTTGGAAGCACCTAAAGATTCCTCCAGTCCGACCGAGAATTCTCTGGGAGCACTTCTTCCGCTAGTAAATTTGCAATTGCTTCAAGACACAAAATATTAATATCTTTATCAATTCAAACAAACTCGTTGCTAATCAAGCATTGTTACCATAAAAAGAAAGTCAATCCAAACTCAAGTATTGGTTCATCGCACTTAGTTTCTTATGAAGTACATAGACTTCCACCTATTTCATTGGTTACATGTGAAAGCTACTAGCTTTCCAAGAGGAAAGCTGTGCCCCACGTGTGTGCCCCACGTGTGGGTTTCTAAATTGGAAATTGTACTTTAAATTGACTGAAAAAGAAAAAAAAAAAGGGAATTCCAAGAGGAAAGTTGTTCATAGCAGCCAGACAGAAAGTAAAAAGTGGGTAAAATTATTTAGCATGGAAATCAGGTGCTTAATTCGTTTATCCGCCTAGTCCAAGGGACAGATGTTCAACGACCTAAGGGCCAAGCTTAAGCAGTACCCTGTTGGCCCATTGAATGGAGAATCATATCACAATAAGCAAAACAACCCTTCTTTTTCACACTATTTCTTTCGAATTGCTAGTAGGTGGTTTGATTTGATAGTATCCGTATCGTCGATGGATGTGTAAAACGCCTAACTTAAATTATGATGTCAAATTTCAAAGAATGATATAGTATAATTCTCATATATAATGTCGTGAGAAGAATGTTTACTAGTGAACTCGCCATGTATAATATTACCAAATGTTTATGTGATTTAGATTTGATAGGTTATAATGAAGCTCATATCTCGATTTGACGTATTCGTGATTTACTTTAAGTGCTTCCAACAAGAATTGAACACCGAATTTAAGTTTTCTCCCTCTTATCTGTCGAGAAGCCATTTCTCATCTTGCGCCGCCGCTTCCATTGCCGACGACTTTGCCATAGCCATATCCACAACGAATGCCACCACACCAGCTGCTAACCATCATTTCCCGACGATGTCTTGAAGCTTCCATTGAGATCTCGCCGGGATCTAATCATCACCGTCAACCTGCGACGGCCAGGTCTAGCCCTTCTTCGCCAAATCTCTCCTCCTCATCAACTAGCTATTCTTTTCCTCAAGAAGGAACTGAAGCATTATCACGATCATTGGAAAGTCGAGATGTTCTTCGAATATAAATTATATAATGGAAGAAGATGGTCCATGGTAGGGATTACATGTGGGATACTCGTTATAAAAAGAAAATCATAGACCATACCACTTTTGCTGAAAAACAAAAATAGACAGCCCGCATAATTAATGTGTCTGAAAAGCTAAAGTAAGGCTATATTGATTGTGGAAGCTGGAATGTCATATCATTCCATCAATCCATCTATAATCATACAAAGACTATTCCATCCACCGTCGATGTGCCCACGTCCAAAGTCGGAAATGTCGTATTGAAATCTGGCTCGGCATCGCTCTTTCGCCGTTTTGAAGTCCTAAGTGAGCCACCATCGCTCGATGTGGCCAAGGGCAAGCAAGGGTCGGCCAACTGCCGCCTGGGGTTGACTCCAATGGGCTCGTATTCAGCCGATCCGATGAGGTGAGGGAAGTTGAGCTTGGCCTTGCAACCCCGTATTTTAAAAGCAGCCCGGTCATAGGCCAATGCTGCATCCTCGGGCATCTCGTAGGTCCCGAGCCAAATCCGGGCTCCACTCTTCTTGGGGTCTCTTATCACTGCCGCGTATTTGCCCCAAGGCCTCCTCCTCACCCCTCTATAGCGCCTCTCTTCCACCTTCTTCACCGGCCCCGTCTCCTGTGCCATATCATCAATGACGCCATGATCAACTGTCACTGCCGCCTCGAAACCAAGTTGCTGATTAGAAGGGATCCGCCCCGAGTCGTGTGCATCTTGCAGCGCACCGTACACAATCATGTCCTTGGAGTCGTCGACCCTTAGCGGGAGGTCTTCACTCCAACTCTCCGTCAGCAAAAGACCAGCGTAGCTCGATCTCCGACGGTACATGTCATCGTCAAGAAGATGATAGCGAATGGACTCGAGAACATCCAAATGAAAAAAGGGTTCTTCGGAATCAATTTCCTCAAGCATTTTCCCTTCTTTTTCCTTTCATAGTTTTTTTTTTGTAGGGGCTGTTTGGTTGCAGACTTTCAGTTGGTGACTATGAAGGGACGAAGGAGGAGAAGTATATATGGGTTGAGGATATCGATTAGGGCAAAAATAAAGTATAATTTTTCGTTAATTTATTACTTCTTTTGGAGTTTCCAAGAAACTTCAATTTGTGGCGAGACTGGAACACGTGTTTTAAATATTGATTTTCTAGTTGCTTAATATGTAATAGCGGCGGCTATAAATTAATGTATTTTAATTCTTAATTATCCGACGCCAAATTTAAGAAAAAAGAGATAGTTCACGTTCCTTTATTTTTTTATTTTATTGAACAAGGACTATAATGTACAGAATGCCTGCATGCGTGCATTGTTATAATCGAGGAAAATATAAGGTGGAAGAAATGTTACAAGAAATGCATAGTTTCGCACTGTAAATCTATACAATAATTTCTTTATACAATAACGGGGGATAAGATCATAATGAAAAGTACATTAAATTTCTGAACCTTTACCATATGATTCTTTAAATGTGTAATACTTTTCAAAATCCTCAATTAACTTTTGGCCAAATTACGAGTCTTGATTAAGTGAAGACAATTTCTTAAATCATTGCGAAGCGATAAGACGCGTACGCAGTCTAAGCTCCAATAGCAAATGATGGTGTATGCACGTAATACATCCAAATAAAGAAAGTGGGGTAGGTTAGGGCATGCATTTGAAACCTAATGCACCATTTATTATATGTCGTCACCTATATAGGTAGACAACATTATTAACTAAAAATACCAAAAATGTGCCCCAGATGTTTTTAAATTTGGAGATTATATATAAAAATCGAACCCAAAAAGAAAAGAGTGGAATTATAGAGTAGTTTATAGGAAGACAAAGTGAAGAAGTGGATTAAATTACCAATCAATGAATTGATCCAAATCTATGTATCTAACGACCTAATTGACACCTCGATTTTCCCTTATGCTCAATCTTCTTACTAGATAAACACAATTTCTTGGGGTTAGCTGAAAACAAAGTAATACCTCATGATAAAAAGTTGAATTGAAAAGCTTAAACTGATAGGTGGAGAGCGACCACATGAATATTAAGACCATTTAAGATCAATTGTCAAGAAATGTAGGATAATATTTCAACACATTGCATGATTTCATTGCATTGAAAGGTAATCGGTGACACATGCGATTCACAAACTACATTTTGTCAGATACATGTTTTTGTTTGCATGCATGATTCTTGGATAATGTCGCAGGTCAAATGTGGCCACGCGTCGCACATGAGGGTGACTTGGTACCTTCGAGACATGTTTTAGACTTAGGATTAGATGGAGAGGACCAAAGCCAAAGGACGGTGTTCTTTTTGTGTGTCCTTGAACGAGGTTCCGACCATCTAGAAACACGTTCTCTTGGACTTCAAGCGTCTTGATGGAGTCATATATGATCCATTACATGCCATCCGTTTAAAGCTTTGTGAAAATAGATATGTATGACTTTGGTTGGTATGTGACTTTCGTTTACCTAGCTATCCATATGGAAGCCGGACCTCTACACGAAGTTATCGTTGATATAGCCAAACGACAAAAAAATGAATTTCTGTCAAGATTTCAAAAAAATGAGTAAATGAATGAAAATCGTGATTTCATGAGGTGCCTTGGTCCTAATGTGAAGGATAAGGAAGCGAGACCAACCCTTTCACACTGAGTTGCAATGTGGTTTTGAAGCTGGGGCAGGTTTTTATCTTTTAGGCCGAGATCCACTCTAGAAAGTATTTGTACCACTAGGTCGGGAACTGAACTAACCGAACACCTTGAGTTCAAATTGAAACGTCGACTGATAACAAACATGCTGATGATCTACACTCCAACACGTGAGCTGTGGATAAAAGAACGCAGCTGGTGTAACTTGGATTTGTAGTCCCAGTTCGGGTTTCAAACACAAAAGAACTCGGTATAAACCGACCCATATGTATGACGTGGATCTAATAAACAAAAACATTTATAAATGAAATGTTTCATTAAGAAAATGATGGTCATTCATGAGGTTAATTGGTTTTCTTCAGCAACTAATATGAACAATAAGGCTGATTTTCAAGGACATAAAGGACAACCTCTACCGTTAATTTTCAACGACATGTGCATTTTACATACGGATAATTGTAACAATTGTTGATGAGCACGTCAAGAAAAGAAACGAAGCTGAAACCAAAATACTTTCGAACTCAATATAGTTCATCTATTTTATAGCTAGAAAATTAGTCCGGAGATCATTGCCCACTCGTCTAAAATTTGAAATGTTCAATGTAGTGTGCTTTAATCGTAAGTGTTTTAACAGATAACAAGCGATGACTTTACTGGTTGAGAAGTTTACAGATCCAACCCATTTGGATTTTTGTACTTTTCATCTTGATGATGACCCAAGGAATATCAGGTGCAGTTTGACATTAGTACAGGTGACTCATTCTCAGAGGCCCAAACAATCATAATATCAGGGATAATTAGGCATTATTTCATAATAGCTCCCAAATTTGAAAATGTTACAAATCACTATCCCAAGCACTGATACCGTAGCACAATAGACCCTGCACTCTGAAAAATTATAGGTTGACTCTTAAACTTTGATTTTTGTTGCAATGGCTACTAGTCTGCATAAGTGTTATTGAGAATGGATTAAATTATTTTTCTTGTCTAACTTAGCTGAACTATTGTTAACTTCATTAGTCATACATCCTTTCTATTTTCTTATCTACATTCACCATGTAGTAGAGATTATTCTAGTCAAGAAAAATGAGCAAGTCCCATTTTAGGGAACGTTTAATTTGCTTTGCAGAGGAAAAAAAAAATAGCGACAAAAACAAAATCCAAAGCTCAAGAAGATAATATGTAACTTCTCAACGGTCCTGTCGTGACGTGGTCTAAGTTCGGGAAAGTAATTTACGAACTATTTTGTGCAATTCGGCTAATTTTCAACGACACAAAGCAATCATCTACGGTTAATTTTCAAAGACATGAGCGATTAATCTTGTTTAGTGCATGCGTATTGTTAGGTTATCGTAGTTGCTATGAAAATATTACCGACAGTCATTGAAATTCATGACTATACTAAAACTTGATACATATGCACCACATTGAGATGAAAACTAGAAATATAGGAAAGAGGGAAACATATTGAATTGAGAAGAGTAGGTCGACACAATTCTAAAATTGTTTGGGCCATAATGTAATCAACCCTCCTAACCATGACAAAAGACAACTCAACCATCTTATCAAAACTAACAATGTATTATTTATCACGATGAATGCCACCGACGGCAGAATTTTGAAGATTCTTACATATTTTGCACCAAGTCGGGATTGACATAGAGGTTAATTAGGTTGGAGGGAAGGGGAGGCAACTCTTTAAGAAGGTCACAAAGTAGCAAATCCAGAGTCTGAAGACTTGACATGAACTAGATTTCTGATGGAAGGCTGGATATACAAGTACCTCGAAGCCTTAGTTCTCTGAGACGACATAGTTTCGAAATACCACTCAGAATGGCTCCCTCCAAACTCCTACACCAGGAGGCATGTACTTCTTCCAGGTCTATCAACTCTCCAATGTAACGAGGAAATTCCCTTAAGAAACAAGAATCCATCGTTAGCACTTTCAATCTCTGCAAGTAGTCAGTTGAATCCAGCAATCTCGAAATACCTATACCCAAAATATCCAACTCTACTAATGAGAATCTCAAATTACAAATGGATTTCGGAAGCTTTCCTAGCCCATGATAATCCCTCAAAGACAAGCGTCGAAGTTCCACCAAGTATCCAATTGACTCGGGCAATTCAAGAATTTTCGCATCATCCAAGGCCAACGCTGAAAGAGCTTTAGTTCACAAACTGAACTAGGAACATGAACCAATGAGAAGCAATTAGTGGCACTAAGAATTTGCTGCTGAAATAGTTTGCCTATGGATGCAGGAAGTTGTCGTACGGAAGTGCCATCAATCAGGAGCTCTCTCAAAGCATTCATCCCATCCATTTCCGTTGGCAGGATGCTAAGTTCGGTGCAGAACTTCAAATTCAGGGTAACCAATAGCTTCAGATCATTAATTGAAGGATCTAAATGAACCAATCGAGAACGTTGCTCAAGAATCAGTATCTCCAAATTTGGCAAGAGGAGAAGCTGGGGGTAACTAATAAGTCCACACAACCTATAAGACGAGACTTTCAAACGTTCCATCTGCAAAACAAGGGAAAAAGTTCTGATGGAGTAGAACTCTAAATGTACTTAAGGGCCAACACAAACACAACAACAAATGAGCTATAGACCCACCTTAATTCTTTTCCAACCTCCCAAGATTCTGTAACCTTACTCCACGAAAGATCAAGAATAACTAGGTTCTCATTTTTCACTAAATTTATGCTGATTGCATCTCGAGGGCACCCTTGCCAATGAAGCCACTGAACATTCAATAATGCATCTGCAAATCGTCCACCGATATTTGCGTGACCCAAGCTGAGAAATGTCGTGTTCAGCAGGATCTCCAAGCCTGCCTCTTCAGTGTTAAGGTGGTCTGTTCCCTGTATGATGGACCACAATAGTCAAGTAGAGAAACATGACGAAGTATTCAGACAATTAAATAGTTACTATGGATGCCTAAAGGTAACTTTGTTCCACCCGACAAACCTTTTTACTCTTGTTCGTGTCCTGGGCTATGGCAGGAATGTACAATCCAAAATTGTTCTAGGATCATGGAAACCTTTGCGCATAATCTCCCTGGCAAGGCACCTTAGCATGCTGTGCATACCTATTTTATTTTCTTCCATTTGTGTTAGGGACATATGACGAAGGACCTCGATTTCATCATGAGGACAATCATAAATATCAAGATACATCTGCTTTTGGTTTTCATCTAATGCATCATAAATAATGCTCAGAATCTTCCGGTAATCTTCCTGAAATTGTTGTATGAGATCTTCAAATCTAATCCATTCTTCTAGTCCTTTATTGTGCAAAAAAGA